GAAAAATCGATCGCAGGAGGAATTCGAAGGCGAGGAGTCAAAAAAAAGTAGTCACGAATGTCATTCAACACGCGCCGGTAATTTTCAAGTATTGTTGTACCTAGTGGATGATAATGCTCCTATCGTATTCCACAACGTAAATCTATCATCTAACCGTGACATTCCAGAGCTCGGGAATTATCGTTTACCTATTAGTGCTAGGCCTTGACGTACTTATTTCAACGTTGAAAAGTCGCATTTTTTATCTATGAATTCTTCATTCTTTCTAAATGCTTTTCCTATACAAAAAAAAATATCATTGAACTGGACGTGTTGTTCATATTCTTCAATGGCAGTGGGTACACATACGGCATGCGTTGAATTATAATTCACATAAGATTATGGATGTAATACTTTTTTTAGAACCCGTCTGTGGTATCGGACATCCGGCAATGACAATTTTGTTTTATACGTAGGACAATATTAAGCAACTATTTCTGTTTATTTCTGTCTTTTAGAAAAGGTACATAATGATAGTTTTAATTGAAAATGAACTTCATTCTGAATTTTAGGACAAATATTTGAGAAAAACTGGGAAATGCCAATTACATACATTACGAAAATGAAATAAAAATAATTTGTGTGTGCAAGATTTCAAGATTTTTTTTTTTAATACTTATAAAGGGCGTATTAAAGGCGTATTATGTATTTTTAAAATGCATTTCTAAACACGGAGTGGGCAATCAACTTGAAAATGAAGTTGTAAATCGTTTTATGTCCTCAGGGCCGATAAAATGCGAATTCTAACCCCATTTCGTGCGGTTGCAATGCGGTTTTCGGCTCGCAAGACATAAAATATTGTATATCACACGGTGATAAAAGTATTTTCAGAATTATGCCATTATAAAATTGCATTCGAACGTCGTGAGGAAATGCTTTCATCGCCCTTGTCACATAATGTATCATTTTTCTATGCGAGGAGAGATATCCCACCGAGAAAAAAAAATGATGGTGAATCATTTTACGTCGGCCTATAGCAAATCTATATGGAAATTTATCCTCCGGCATATTTTAAGGAATACTAATTTCTACTGTGAATTCTTGCAAACAAAAGTTACAATTGAACTCTGAAATTTCAATCAGCTCTTTTAAACAGATTTATTCAATCCAATATTTAGCACTCGCAATCACGAATGCGTTTACGTCCCTTCATTAATTTAATTTATTACCTTCAAAATGGTTTGTCTGTTAATTTCCCCGCCACCGCTCCCTCACGCAAAATTTTTTCAATAATTTGCAACTTCCCTTGGCTTCAGTAATGATTCCCACATTTTTGTAATTGTTTCAATTTTTTATATTCCTTGAATTCTCAAAATTTTGCTATAACTTGGGTTTTCGTATCAGTTTCGTCTTGAGGGTCTTACTCTTACGTTCATTCGAGATATTTCGAGATCGATTTCCTTTCTTTTTTTTATATTGCGAGGAACATGTGTAATAGACAGCAATTCCCCGCTGATTTCAATATCTTGGGCCACCTGGGGATGAAATTAATGTTGGCAATTCCTTTGTAATGATCTTCCAATCACTTCGAATGGTATTTAATCCCCATATCGATTATCGCTCGGGGAAGTTCTTTTGGAGATCAAGTCCATTTTATTAAAGATTTGTTTTCTGTGTTAAGTTTTTCCCCTTTCGTTAGTACCGCCGGACATCCGGTCTCGATACAGCCTCTACATCCTTTATCCCTTTCCCCAATTTTTGTCACAAAAACCCGACTCGTGTACTAATACACACCAATGGTCGTGTTAGGGAGTTACACAATCATTAACAGGAAATGTCTGAAAGCCCGGACTTTACCTTTGTTTTCCTTGGCACTGCAGTTAATTTACCGCGTCAATAACAGGTCCACTCAAAAAATACTTCATATATCTCTAATAAATGATATTCCCGAAACGAAAATTTTTTAAGCAAAAAATTTTACATGCTGAAAAAACTTCTTTTTCCCCTTTTTGAAGAATTTATTTATTATTAACTAATTAATTAATTAATCGATTCTCTTTATTATTTAAAAGTGATTTGAAAAATTATAAAATACTGTAATTTTCAATTTCAAGATTGCATGAAAAATCAGGAAAACTCCGGGAAAAACTGTCAACTCATGTCATTTCGTTCTGGAATATTCATGGCTCATTGAAGTGTCAATCAAATTGGAAAATTTTTGATTTCCCAACTCGATGGAAAAACTTGAGAATTCCGACGATTTTATATAAATCTCTTACAAAAAAAATATATAATATAAATTCAATCATTATTTATATCCATTTATTCTACAACAATCAAGCCGATTCAAAAATTTTTTATTGACTTTTTCCAAAACAGAAATATTTCCTCAAATTCCACCAAAAATCTGATTTTTCCAAAGCATCACCGACTGAATTCGCTTCAATATCACTCTCTTGAAAATGATCATTCCGTTTTCCCCAATTAAAAAAAGAATTTCCACTAATCTCGCGTAATGGTTTAGACAGTGCGTGCCAATTTGGCATTACGTGAATCAAATAAAGACAAAAATGTAGGATTTCAATTAGTCTCCCCACCAGTTCGGAGTGTCGTGTGGCCAAGTGAATACAGTGTGGCGTTTTGAGTATAATTTTATACCCCAAGAGCAAACAGGTGTTACGATGACTGTATATTGCCGTGGGTATGCGTGACGCGCGCGTGCCACCCGAGTAAAACGTGTGGCGTAGAGTTGACACGTTCCTCCCTCCAAAAAAAAGCCAAAAAAAGGGGAAAAAAAGGAAAAAAAAAGGGGAAAAACTATTTAACGAAGGGACCGGAGAGGCAAGAGGAGAGGCAAGAGGAGAGGTAAGAGGAGGGCCCTACAGCAAGCCCTTCCGCGAAATACCCCAAACAATGAAAAATCCGGACTTTGATGAATTATCCATGGAGAAGTGAAAGGACTAAATATATAGAATTATCATAAATGCCATATTTTATCTGGTTTAATGCCGGAGAACAATACGAATTGCGGGAATAATTTTTCACAGCGGTATTTGTTATGGTGTGTGAGGTCGATCAATTCCAAGAAAGTGCAATGTGTGTCTAGGCCAACGTATGCCTCTAGCGCAACTTTGACATATTATCTTCCTAACGCGGGTGTTGCCTAGTGCATGTACACCTCGAGTGTGTGCATTTCAATGTTGAAGTGGAGAAAAAGAACTAAATAAAAAGGAGGAAAAAAAAAAATGGTAAATCGAGGATAATCACGAGCTCACGATCGCGAAGATACCAAAGCGACCTTATCCCAGTAATTACGATGCAAAATACACGATTTATTTATAAATTCGATGCGCAGCGTCCGAGGGAACCTGTGCCTTCTCCTTCCCTCTGCTCAATCTTTATTCGTTATTTTCAGGCCGGTTCTCCACTCCTCATGCTGGTCCATTCGCTATGTCTGGCAATCTGCCAAATGGGATAAATCCTATGTGTGCAACTGTGCCTTGTGATATTATTCTTCCTCTGCCGATTCATTTTTTTTTATCCCGGTATTTGAATGGAGGGAACGTATAGGAAAATTACACGGTTCAAGCCAGAATATTTTCAACGGATCCACGCATTTTTGGAATTTCTCGGGGGAGACATTTATTTGCAAAATTAGTCTCACAGGGAGCAATCGTCTGGTCATAGTCGCAGTTTGGGATTTTT